CTTTCGCAAATATATTTCTGTCCACAGCCGCCGCATAATATGCGATAAACTCTCGAACAATCCCATTTGTCTAGCCTTTCTTGTTGCGTCGGTAGACTTATGAAAAGTGTTGATTTCTCTTTCATGGCCACCACCTTTTGAGTTAGTTAGCAGGAAGGTAGGAATATCCACTTTTGTGAATCCTTCATCGTCCTTACTGTTCTTTCATAGTCTCCCTTCTGCCATCGGCTTTTTAAGACCCTTATGTTTCTGTGTATCACTTCGATTTGGTAGACATTGCCGAGCAATGTCATAGTCAATTGTTCCAGATCCTCCGTCCAGAATTCTACATCCCTTAGGCGTAGGCTTCGGATGATCATGCTCCTCATTATTCCTATCTTTCGTCCGTAATTGTGATGGGACCGGAAATTGAATATAATCCCAGCATAGGACTTCGTTCTGAAGAATTTCTTTCTTGAACGTCCCATTAAAGCAGGAACGGTAACCGCTCACCTTCCTCTACTTCCATCGTGAATTTAATTCTTTCATCAATCCGGTTTACAAACGTCAGAAACTCTTCCAGTTTTTCTCTTCCATGTGACCAAAATGCAAAGTAATCATCCAGGTACAGCATGAGCACTGCCGGGTGAAACGGTGCCATCTTGAAGCTCTCTTCTGTTTGTTCATGCATACGTTTGTCGAAAGTGGTGAGAGCGGCGATCCCATGGGAAGTCCAAATATTTGCCCATAGATGTTCCCGTTGAATGTAAAGTAGGTTGTCCTTATTTTCGAGTTGATTAGTATTGTTAACGACTACCTACCGATCCGTTGTGATTCCAGGATATTCTCCTCTCGGTCCAGGATTTAAAGCAGGGCCCTAAGCGCATTTTCTCCAGAGATATTTGTATACATTGATTCCACATCGAAACTTACCAATAAGTATGTTTCTTCCTGTGCCATGTTTTTGATTTTTGAGAAAACTCATATGAATGTTTTACCGTGTTTGATAGCCTCTCATTTAATTTCTTGAGTTTCAAAAATATAAACTTTACTAATTTGTGTGTCGCTCCATACTTGTTGTTGACTATCAGCCTTAGTGGCTCGCCTTCATTGTGTATCTTCGGTAATCTCTATGCTGTTGGTGGTCGT